GTGGACAGGAGGGACAAGTCCTTGCTGACCACCATTATCCACACAGAACTACTGACCCTCCTGTGGTTTGACCTTCTGATCCACTAATCCTCCCTCTTTGATGAACTGGTTTCTGTCACTTGTGACCAAGGGTCCTGACTGTCATATCCACATTAAGTCATATGTGTGCAGCCTCAAAGGCCCTTCCTTTGGTAACCCTAATGATGGCAGTGGCAAGGAAGCATATCCTTCTGTAGATCTGCCTCCGTGCGATGGGTGTCACCTGCCACCGGTCCTTCAAGGCAGGCCCAAGCAGTGTTCAGGGAATGCAGGCTGAAGAGAACATCAAAAGAACCAGGGCTATGACTCCCTCAGCTGCAGCTGACACAAACTGATCAGAGGAGGTGGGACAATAAGAAGCTGTATGAATGTCACCCATTCTGTGTGTTGGTGACAAAGAATCTGGTTGTAGCTGGGCACCGCATGTGTCAGAGCACCAGGACAGTCCACAAAAGTGGGAAGAACCACCCCAATGGCTTGAGTTTTCTAGGTATAAACCTGTCCCTTACACATGGTGTTTGTGAAGACACACACACACACACACACACACACACACACACACACACACACAAATACAAACACAAACACAAACACATACACACACATTGATCAGTCACTCTGCCCAGGCAGTTTTTGGGGTAAGAGGTCACCACAGTGTTTGGGGTAAGAGGTCACCAAGCGGCCTGGTACCAAGTGGGAAAAGGGCTGGTGCTTGCCCACGCTCATGAGGTTTCCAGGATGACAGAGCTAGAAGGGTCATGGCCTTGGGAATTGGGAGCAGATGCTTGGCTCTACTCCATACTTCCTGGAGTCCTCTGGACCTAGACTTCTAGAACTGTCTTGACCTGTTGACTCAACCTGGTGGGTTCCCTGCCTGATGGGTCTGGGAGGTCTTGACATCTGGCATGGTTCAGATCTCACCTTTTGAATGCTGGATTCCCAGATCTCCTGCTATTGCAAAGCCTTTAGGAGTTGGGGCCTGGCTAGCAGACCCGAGTCTCCAAGAGCAGATGATGAAGGGTATTTTTTCCCTGGTTCTGGCTGTGCTGTCTGTTTCCTGATCTGCTGAGAAGTGGAGAGTCTCCTCCACATGCTGCCAGGACCTCCATTATGCCTTCCCTCCCCTGAAGCGGTATCCAAACCAGCCCTTCTTCCCTTCAGTTGCTTCTGCAGTCACAGCTTCTCAAAAGAAATGAATGGTTTTCATTCTCTGCACTTGGGTCCCCAGACCTGGCTTCTAACAAGGAAACAGGCTGAGTCCATCTGCTAAGACCTCCTAGCCTGTGAGAGACTTTGGGACTGTCTTATTGTCTAGCCCTGTCTAGGCAGGGACAGATGAATGGTCCACATGGACATTCATGTAAACCAGGCTTGCTGCTCAGCCTCTTCCTGAGCTCCACATCTCGTATGGAGGAAGTTCCTAGTGTTATCCCACCACAGACCATCTTGATGCCAAGTATAGATGACAGAACTGTAAACTTATGTTGGATGAGGGTTTCAAAAGGGAATGATCATTCAGAAATGACCCAATCACTTACTTGGGGTTTTGACAATCAAAAATGAATTTCTTCAGACCAGAAATGGATCTTTACATTTCCTCTCTCTCTCTGCTTCTGTGGGGGCTGTTGCTCCCAAATCTGCTTGCATCATGGCTCAGTGATGTTTAGAATCCTGAGTAGTTTTCTGGAGACAGATGGCATTGATTTCACATTTGTTCCACTGTGCCTGCCTCTCACAATGTATTAGCATCAGCTCCTGACATGCAACTACAGAAGACATCAGAAACGATTTGATCTGTCACTTAAAAAAAACATTTGTGCTGGACCTAGTGGGCTAGGCCTGTAATCCCAGCTACTTTGGAAGCTGAAGCAGGAGGATCATAAGTTTAAGGGCTACTGAGTTTAAAATAAGCCTGGGCAATGCAGTGAGACCCTATGTCAAAATAATAGTCAATGAGTGTTAGGGGTCTTGCCCTACAAACACAGCCCTGGATTCCACCCCAGTATGACAGGTGCATCCTCTGCATGAAGAGAGTTGGGGAAAATGGACCCTTCGTGGACTATAGAGGGCCCATCTCTGCTCCTTTCTGCACGTGATCTTGTCGCTGGTATTTCTGACAATTGCTTTAGTAGCTCAGGATGGGGGAAAATACTGTGTGGCTGTTATGTCTCAGTGTGCCATGAAGAGCATGCTGGGCTGGAGGTTCACAGGGTAATTGCTGCAGGTCCCTGTGACTTTGGAATGCCATTGTTCCTCTTTGAGCCTCGGTTTCTCCATTGGTAAAAAGAAGAGCCATCTCTCTTCCTCACTTTTTCTCATGATCCAGGAGAGGGTAAAAGAGTATCTGGTACTCAGATGCACATGAATCAGGCTTTTCTTTTGGTAATAATAGACATTAGAATCTCATATATGCAAGCATGTACTCTACCAATGAGCCACACACTCCACCTTCCTCCCCCCCTCCCCCCAGTGTTGGAAATTGATCCCAGGGCTTTGTGTAGGCAAAGCAGAGGCTCTGCTGCTGAGCTATATCTCTGGTTCAGAGTCTCACAATAAGTCTCAGGTTGGCTTTGAAGTTGCTTTCCTCATGTTTTAGCCTCCCTCCTGGTACCTTACCACACCTAGCTCTTGTAACTTCTCTAAAGTCAGCCAGAACAGGAAGTTGCTTGGAGCCATGTGACCTTGAACACCTGAGTAGTCAAGGTACAGAAATCAAGGTGGTCCATGGCTTGTGAAAGGTCTTTCAAGACATTCTGGTGTGATATACAGTCTCAGAGTTGACAGCAGGGTAGGAAGGAACTTACTTGCATATGGCATCCCCAACACTGCAAGCCCTGAGTTATCACACCCAAGTCTGTCCATAACAATAGGGTCGAGGTTCCCATAGAATGATTCATGACACCATGCTGCACAGGGACAACTGGGAATACCCACTGCAGAGAAGGACAGATGGGGGCCAGGCTGAATCCAGTCACTGTGTGTACTCAGGAGAGGGGGTGCTCCCTCCCTCATGCCCCTCATCTGGGTGGCCTCTCGATGCTCCTTCTGTCAGTTCTGCTCAGGGAAATCTGAATATGCCATGCCAGGCAGACATTGGAGGAAATCAACCCAGACAGCAGACACTTAGTCCTGCTTAGAAGGTCATGCAGTTCTGGCTGGCAAGCTTGCCTGAGATGCGGGATGCTGCTGACATAACAGCCTCTACCAGGATGCCATCTCCTTTCCCTCACCTAAAGACTGGTTTGAAATAATGAGCACCATCAGAGTGGGAATCCCACTGTCCTAAACTCCCCAGAGTTCCAGAGCCAAGACCCATGCAAGGCACACAGCAGGGGCTTCATCCATCTACCCAGGCATATGCTATTTTTGTACCAAGTACTGGGCCTGCTGGGCCACATAGAGCCCATCTCCGTGAGCTTGCAGGAGATGCTGAGAATAGACTAATAATTCCAACAGCATTTTGCCAGGTTTCAAGTAAGTCTTACCCTCTTAGTCATCTCCCTTTCTGGGGCCCTCGAGACCCTCTAGTGCCTTCTAGTCTGGCATGCATCTTCACCAAGGATAGCCTTCTGAATGAGCTCCTATCTCCACATAGAACCAATTCCATTAATTGATGTTTGAACAAAATACCTGTTTTCCTTTAAAAATATCCTACCAGAAAATTAGAGGTAAGTCAAAGTTTTTTTCTTTTCAAGTCCCAGAAGTTGTTTTGGTCTCCAAGGAAGGCAGGAACAGCTTCTCCAAAAGACAAGACAAGATGAGCACAGGGGAATTGGCACACTTTGTCATGGGGCTGTCCTATATGTCAGCTTAGGGGCCTCCCCTGCATGCTAACTACTGCACCCACCTGTCACTTGTTGGGATGGGGATGTGCAATTAGCAAAATAAAACTCTAGTGTAGCTAGAGTTTCCCTGCCTTGCCCACAGT